GAAGATCACTAAGGGAAAAGCTGAAAACAAAAGTGTAAATCTTTGCTCACAAAATACAACTGACGCCAGCCGGCTTCCTTCTTATTTCCCCCCATGATATTTCCCTCCCGGCTATCAACCCTCTCCCCGGACGGTCAGTCAACCGACTCAGTTCCATTGTGCTTTCAGACAATACTAAACCATTTCCTCTCTCGTCAGGAAGACGAGAGAGGAAAAAATGTTCTTAAAGAGCGTGTCCCAAGACGGGCCCTGGCAAACACTCCCGTATTAGAAAAAAAATCGCACATTTCGCGCTGTGGAAAAACAAAGGTATTTTTCCAGGTTGTGTGAAGAGACGAGACGGGAGAATTTTTTAACATTCGGAGCGCGTCACAGGCGACCTGTAGAAGCGTCACTTCATCAGAAGTGACGCTGCGGTGCTATTAGAGAAATTCCTTGGGGGAATTGGAAATACAAGGAGGATCTGAAATGAGGCAAAACTCAGATAACTAAATACAAAGGGAAGATGCGATCATCTTTCTTTTTTTCGATCAAAGCGTGAACGAGTTGAAAGTATTCCAATGTAGCATTAATGTCGCACAGCATACTTTCTCGCCTACAGTGCGGCACAGTTTTCCTCTGTTGAAAGCCAATTTTCTCTGCTCGGCTTCTCCAGGTCTAGTCTATGTACATACACAGTTGCCTTGCTTCAGTTTGCACGCAGTTGCTCTCGCGCTTCTTCGGACCTTTTTTCCTTATCATCTCTATTCCTGTGCCGGCTTATGGACTCGGAATGTACCTTCTCTGAATGCTGTTAACTCCACTCGTGCACTCAACCTGTCCAGGCTTATCTCTGCTTTATATTTTGGTTACTGCTCACCTTCGATTTGCTTAGTTTGAGTGTCACCCGTTCTACTCCGTGCAAGCTCTGTATACGACCGGGCGTCTATCACATAGACTACGGTTTGCCTAACTACAAGCTCTGTCTTACTGTAACTCTCTTTCTAGTGTTCGGCCATGTTGTCATCCCTTCTGTTCTTCTCTGTTCTTGCTCCCTCCTTTTCTTGTCGTTTCCTCACTTCAAAAACTTTAGTTATTATTATTTTTTTTCTGCGTTGCCTTACACATGTATCATTTCCCGCCTTGTCTCCTCTTCTCCGTAATGGGTGATGGTTTGAGGGGGCAAGAGATTTCAGGAGATGGCATTCTCCGGTCCCAGCGGGGTTTCGAGGCCCCATCATCTGCGATGACTGTATCCATTAGTTGGGGGGGGGAGTGTTGCGGCCCGTGTAACACGTTTTCATCATTTTCTCTCCGCGCAATTGTCGCTAAAAGGCGAGTGCCATCACGCTAAAAGGGAGTCACTCTCAGAGGGGGAAAGGGTTTGATGGGGGGAATCTTCGGCGGTGTTTGGATGAGACGGGGGCAAGTCGGTTTCCACTGGGTCCCCTAATGGTGTTAAATGACTGCACGGAGACACTATAGGCACAGTAGCAATGGCGATGATGATGATGATGATGGGTGCAGCGATATCTCTTGGTGCGAACTCGCGCTAAATGCCGGCGCGTATCCCGTACACTAGCTCAAGGGTGACATTTCAACCTGTTTGCTATTCCCATCATCTCATAAGTTCTATCGGCAAAGGTATCAAGAGTCGCGTAAGGGGAAGCGCTGAATGACTGTATCTTGACACCGATAGGGCAACGGACCCAGGACGTGTTGGGAGTTAACAAGTGTGCAAGCGGCTTACCCGAGAGAGCACGTGTCTAGACAGATAGACATAGCTCCGGCTGTAATCCACAGGAGAATCAGCGCCGAAACTTGGTAGAGGAATCTGCCTGGCCTTTGACTATAATGCTCGACGGGAGACAAACAAAAACGGAGCACTGCTGGAAAATGTTCTGCAGTATAAGTTAGTAGAACAGGAATACGACAGTCACTGGCCGACGTCCAATAATTGTAAGCTAACTCCAGAGAGACGGAATTCGTGTAAAACGTATGTGACTTTCCCTTACCCCAGGATGCTGTTTTGAGGGTGATGCAAAATCATTTCAAGTCTTGAGCCTGATTAGAGTCGACCTGGATGACACCATGTGGTTTTGTTTTTATTTCAATCCTTTTTATTCAAACCTTACCATTATTTTGTACATAGCCCCTTCTCTACTCCCCCGTAGTCATTATGATCTTTAGAGTCAATGTAAAAAGTACGCCGAACTTGATTATGGGTCCCAAAATGTTGAAGTCAAGCATTGGGGGGGGGGAACAATTTCAAATTGTTCCGTGACGTGGGCTATAGCTGCCTTGTTCCTCAGCAGCCTTTTGCCGGGTATGAAGAGTTGCCAAGCACTGTACTTACCGTTAGCTCATTGAAGCTGGGCCCTTAATATAGGATTTCACTATAGAGGAACATATTCGGTGATTCACTTACATTGATAAAAACACTTACGTTGTTGACTCGTCAAAGTCACTTTTGACCAAACAAGGAGACACGTGAACTCAGGAAGACTAACTTTTAACGAAATTACAAAAACTGCGGGCAGCTGGGCTCTACTTGTAGAGACTGTTCCGCCCACTGACTTAATAGTGTCAGCGTAACTTCAGTGGGGGGAAATAGGCGGATGACGCCGAACGGTGGAAGCGCGTTCGCAGCAACCGTTTTCAGCCAAACTATTTCTTGCATTTATTACTTGTGGAAACGGGGAGTTTTCGATCTCTACTGACGGGCGTGATACTGGACAAGTCACGACACTCTGCGAACAACACAGGCAGGGTACGGGTCCATACAGCAGCTTTCCTTGTGTGGGAATCGATATTTATAGGCGAGAGGGTGCAGAGAGCACGCTACTGAGTGTGGGAGCCCGTCCCACCTCAAAAGAGGTGTTTCTAGCTGCATTCAAAAGCATTTTGAAAAAAAAAGAAAAGACGAGACTTTAATTTGATCAAATTACTGGAGGGGATACAGTCCCCTCAACTTGCCCTCAAGATAATTATGTTACTACACGAGTAAGATACCCAATGCCGAACTTTTAAGATGGTCCTTTTAGTTCCCTCCCATAACTTTCCAAACTTTAGGTTGTTCTGGTATTCACTGAGTGAGCAAAACGGGGGGGGTCTTACACCTTAATACTTCCCTTGGAAAACCAGGTAGGCGTGAGCGACTGTTTTTTCGGAGTTAAGTCGCTACGGACTCGAACCAACCGCCTGGTTCGCAGAATACTGCAATGGACGCCAGACGGCACTGCGTCCAACATCGTTGGAATATTAATACCTGCTCTGCCATCACACTAGTGGATTATTCAGGATAACATGTAGGCCACTTTCCGGATGAAAACAACCAGGATGCCGGCTAACACTAGCGATTTGTGTTGCAATAACCGCGGAGTTGTGTCATACACATAACCGTTTTACCCCCTCCCCCGAAAAAAAGAGAACACTGAACCCAGTGACATGGCTTGCGACTGGCCGATTTATTTTCGCTAAGCATAGGCCAAGCACTATTTTATGCTTACAAAAAGGCTTTCGTCGTCTAATACTATACGTATTCACCAAGGAAGCTGGTTCATTTCAAAGGGTGATAATGTTAGACGGTTCTCTAACCGTTAAATCTGTCATAATGAATAATCAGCAATAATGATTTGGAGACAGCCCGTTTTACCCGCAAGAGAAGTGGTAAATGGTGAGTACAATTCCCGGTCTCGAGTCGCAGCGTGTTCAGAGCATTGTTGTGGACTGAAAAACAAGTCCCTATAAGTTGGGAATCAAGGGTAAGATTGACCGACATCACACAAATCCGACAAAGAACCGAAAGTTGAGATGAGTTAATCAGCATGGTACCCTCCAGGTCTCCAGTGTGGCCAGTTCATAATTTCCATCCAAAAGAGGGCCAGATTGTACTGGGTGTTGATCTTGACCCGCCGGCCAAGGGGCCTGCGTAATTGCCCCCCCCCCGTGCTCCAGCCCAACAGGGCTATGTATTATTGCGTGCTCCAGCCGGCGACAACGGAGGGGGAACGGATTATTAATCCCCTAACAATTGCAAGGGAGAAAATGATTCATTTGCGCCGTTTTCGAAATTAAATGACACCGCGCCGAGTAAATTAACAATGACTCACGTTGACAAGGCCTTTGTCTCGGCGTGTCGGCCCCTTTGATACACGATCCCGAGCCCCCTAGGTTAGGCGACCGAAGGCAGAGGAGGAGCAAAGAGGAGAAAAGGGTTATAAAAAAAAAAAAAAACCCTGAAAGAATGCTAAGCGATAACTGGTCTGCATGCCAGCACGTTGATTATCGTGTCTTCTTCTGGCCCAGTTGTCACCATGGTGACCATTTTGGCGCGTGAAATCAATGAGTCATTTTCGGTTTGGTGATTTTCGGGTGGCGATGCAATGCAAAAGAACCCCCTGGGGCTTATGTCTGGCGCGTCTGGGTGCCAAGAGGAGACCTTTTTTTTTCCCTATTCGACGCACTCATGCCTTCCAACACCGTCAATATTACGCCCTCTGCAATAAACGACCAGACCTTGTAGAGATATTGCCTCCTCGGTGGCGCGGCCCCGAGTCGTAAGAGGATGCAAGTCATCTAAGCCCGATATACTAATACCGTGATCCATGTCGTCGCAATTAGGTTTGATGGGTGCCGACAAGTGGAGAGATGTCGGACGGTTTGGGAAACCAACTGACAGGACTGAAAGTAGGATTGATGACAAAATGCCCAACACAACTCGGAAAGCGGCCAAGGTTCATTACGCGGGAAAGATTTTTCCCTTGTTTACAAGGTGGTGGTGGTGGGGGGGGGGTTGAAATGGACCACAGGCTGAGACAGCAGCTGACTTTGACGTGCAATATATGATTACAATCAGCCAAACTCGAGAGCAACCTAAATCGAGGTATATTACATTTCTCTGAAACTGACGACAGGAAGTAATTAGACACAAATTGCCAATAACCTTTTTTCCCCAGAGTGCAAGCTCTCAGCTTGTATCATCAGCAATTTCTTAGAAAATAATGACACTTAAAATCCCGTTTTCAAGTATATATTTATATTTATTTACAAAATTATCTGGTTAATAGATATAGTATAATGGTCCTATCCGAATACATGTCAGCAAGTGCATACCATTTTCACAGTCATAATGCCATACCCCCTGCAAAGGAAACGAGACCATACTGCCGCTTTATCAAATGACCACCACTTGGCATAATCACTATTTTGGCAGTTTAACATGAGGACACGGAATTTTACGCACAACAGCCTTTTCCCGAGCACATCTCAAACCATTTAGTTGTGCCATAAGTCAGTTTCCACTGAACGCTGGCAAGGACCGATGTCCTGAACTCGACACCACTCTGGAACAACTGGAGTCCGAGAAGTTCTCCGATGTACTATAAGACTGTTGCATGCTATCACCAGTAACGAACCCCTCTTCCTCCCGAATGGGCCAACTTGCATCCCAGAACCCCCCCCCCCTTCCCAGTGCATGACAATCGTGTCCATGTCACACCAGCATTATATTAGAATGCATCAAATGCATGTTTTATCATTTTATTAATCCGAGTGCCATTATATACAAATACCAAACTGAAAGTTAATACCCGGTTCGCCTCGTATAATGATGAAAGCGGGAACGGGCAGAATTGTGTCTCCATCAATCAAACGCTATCACTCTACGTAATTGATCTCCCAAACAGTCGGCTTCTTCCATTAGTCATCTTCAGACCACGGACTGTTCATGAGCCATGGAGCCAAACCATCCCATTAAAAATACATACAATTTTCAGAGACCTGTACAACATGATAACTGTGACATAAATTCCCGAATTTATGGTTAAGTTACATACGGCGACCAGTGGGAGAAATAACACTCCTAAACCTGGTTATTGTCAGGAGCACAAGTATAATGCACGGCTGAACGATGATAGAATTCGCCTGCCTGTTGGCGAATTCGTTACGGACAGTCGCGGATTTATCCGAAATGGAATTATATATGGGCGATATTGTGAGCTGGTTCTGATTGCTTTTCGACGAAATTGTCCATGAAACCCTCACCGGTGGAGATAATCAAACCTCTCGTCCCGTCTGATGCGTGACTGCGTAGCGCCACGTCACGCGGGAGGTTGGACAAAAATGACGCCGTCCGATCCCGGCTCGCCTTGAAACACAGGGAATTCCCCTTCTTGCCTTTTTTTCGCGATATGGACTGGCCCCATTTTGTGCAACCACCAAAAACCTCTGCACTCGGTCTCGGGTGACATCAAATGTCACATCAACAGAGAAACAAACAGAGAGTTTCAAAATTTTGATTTGCAGCGATGAAAAAAATTATAAAAAGGCTTTGATAATCACTGAATTTGAAGGGTGAAAATTTTCAACGGGACAGAATACCTATAGTAAAATGACCTAAAAATAATGAAATATCCAATAAACGCTCAAACGGGCTCCTCACATGACACGTCACATTTGACTTAGAAATGTATAAATTACCCAGAACGCTATGTGGGTCAAATGACCAACAAGAGTAAATCTGCGACATAAATCTTTCTCTGAACTTGTTCACCTTCTCACAAGAAATGTATTCCACACAAGAATACAGATATACTTATCCAGGGAAACAAAATCCAATAGATATGTAAATGAGGTGACAAATACAATAGATATGTAAATGAGGGGACAAATACAAAAGATATGTAAATAAATTCGCTAACAGCAGGTTGAGACAACCCTTTCCGCTCTGGGAAAAACACTGACACAGATCTCATAGACCTAGGATCATTATTACACTGCAGTTACTTTTGTATTTTGATGCGTACAGCCCCTGCATTTGTCATTAAAGTGGCATTATTTTACATGCATTTTCCACATGGTAGGGGAGAGTTGAGGCCTCCTGTTCAACGGGCTTGGGGGAGCAATCATGATAAAATATCTTGCTCAGGGACAAGACTAAGTCTGATCGATATTTACAGAATACCAGGCCAGCCGGTTAACTTAACGGACGGTTAGCCAATACATTCTGAGAGAGCACAGTAAGGGCATCATGCCTGTCAGTCTTTGGACGAATTACGGTGAAGTACCTAGCTTAGAGACACCACAGAGCTTTGATCACAAGCGCATCAAATGCGAATGCTGAAACCACAACCTCCCTAAAAACATCTGAACTGTCTAAATACATGTACAGCTAAAAATCAAAGACAACTCTCAATCCATAATTAAGACATAATATGATTTTCTCCAATCCTAATGCATTCGCCCAGGCTGTGCTTCAAAGAGTCTGTGTCAGAGAGGGATCGCTGCCTCAGAATGTAAAGCCGAGTGCAAGAAATACTTCATTACCTAGGGAAAACACCAAGTGGCATTGGGCTCATTAAGACCCCGTATCACAGGACACGGGCTGTCATTCCACAAATGGTTACGGCACAAAAAAGGGGAATGTATGGCATCACTGCTGTTATATTTGGAAACTCGGTGACCCTCTCCATGATAAAACAGCGGTACTTTGGAGTCAACAAGAAACCTGTCCCTGAAATCCACGGGAACAGGTTTCGAGGAGTGCAGTCACCATTTTTTTCTCCCCCAAACAAACGCAAAAATGCTCTGCAATTTCCCCAGTCACTAGTGAGCAGAATCACATTTGTTCTCACAGAGATCCTTTCAAATGAAGTCAAAGCAATCTCCCAACCTTCAATGACTTGCCGGTTTGAGGAGAAAGTACTGCACAACGGACGGCATCAAAGTGTTGGCTGATTGGACAAACTATTGATGCAAACGAAAGGGGTCAGTCAAAATTAGTTGACGGCAGTCTAGTGATCCCTTTCATCATTCTTCCCCGAAATATGTCATTGCTTTATGTAGTACAAATTTTTACACTGATCTTTCAATGAACTGTCAAAATCGGAATGCTTTTTTATGGGTATCATATGAAATGAAGGTTGAGTTTGCGAGTCACGTGCATAGAGGGATACCAAGCGGGTGCCGGAGTCTGATTTTACATAGCATCAAGACTAGCAGTAAGGAAACCAAACTTTGCTGGGCAGCTGATGAACCACAGCAAAGTATTGACCGGTTAGAGTAGGGGGCACAAGTTGAAGATGCAGAAGTGAGCAACCATTTAATCCCTTGGCGGGCACTGCTACAGTGTTCAACGGGAGAGGTTTGTTTTGCCATAAATATGAATGAATGTCAATTAAGTGCTTAAATGTTGGCTTAATTAATGCCGTCATTCACATTGGTAATTTTAATTTTTATGAGCTAATTTAGTAGAAGAGAATGTTCTTAATAATAATATTGTCACTTCTGCAACTAATTTCTTTTTCAGTTCAACCTGGCTCTGCAGAGTCGACCAAAAGGTTATTTAATTCTGCACAAGTAGTAAAACGGTTTGCAACATCATTTTTCCTTATAATCTTTTAGGGCAGTACAAAACACTTGATGACTGACTTCCAGTAAGAAGTCCCGCCTGCTTTGCTAGTGTCATGTGACACCACGCCGGGCGACGCGAGCCACCGCAGTAAATTCAGTGTCCCCCCCTTTCATTCCTGTGCAAAGAAGCCATGGGATTGGTCCAATCAAGGAGACGAAGGAGCAAAAGGAACGGAAGAGGAGCGAAGGTGTCTGCTGGAATGAAAAATGAGATGGCACAACGCACCCAGCATAAGCAAGCAGATCGGCCAGCATTAAACCAGGCTATTAATGTCCGCCACTGTACCCATCAGACGCACTTTGGACTACCGGGCCTATTAATCACAGCATCAATTATCAATTCCGATGCTCCAAACTTGCGGCACTTTCTCTTGTCTACCCCCACTTTGTTTTTTCTCCAACAAAAACCGGGGGATTACTTAGAGGCGTAAGTCAAACTGGATATGATTTGTCATCAACTGTGAGCGACCAGTCCATGTTGTATTAGATAGCGGCAATGCTAGTGCATTACCATGACAGGCTACTGTGCACATAATCACTGGATGCAAGGGAAGTCAACCTTCTCTCCAGCATAACCAGAGTCAACAAACTCTCCATTAGCCTCCCTGACATTTCATGAAAAATGTGATTTCATTTCTCTTTACATGTCAAACGAGAAACTCACCACTGATACATTGACTCAACATCAAAATTACCATGACTAATGCTGTATTAAATTGAGCTTTTAGATACATCTATTGAGTCAGTAAACTGGTCATACAACTAAATAGTCAAAATAAATTAGTAATATTTGTTGACCACATTTGTCAAATATACACAACCATAGCACATTACCGGTACACATGTATCTTGCACAGGCTTCACATACAATGGCATTGATAAATCTTGCAATCAAAAAAAAAAAATTTAAGTTACATTTAACAAATGTTTAAAAGAAATCTATTTGGACCTACATATTCCAGGTATTTTTAAAACAGAGCCTTGCCTACACGACAGTTTTGAATTTTTACATCAATCATATTGCTTGCAGTATGAGTGTGGACACTCCAAATGCAACCAATGGACTATCACAGTTGCAACAGGTTTGAGGTTCCAACTTGGAAAACCCTTTGGACGACTGCTGCATTGCCCTAGACATTGTGACAAACATGGCCTTATGGTTTTGGGACATGGAATTATTCACAGGCCAACTATCTAGATGCTAGATAATATGGAACAGGAGAGAGTCTTAACTGAGCATGATCTGTGCATAAATGATGTACAAATAATTTCTCATGATCTGTACATAACGACATGTTACAAAACCCCTTATGTTGACTGAAGAGGTGACATAAGTCGGGCACAAACCTTCGAGAACCTTTGGTTTTTGTGCTGTGTCAGGATTGTTGAAACAAACCCAGCTCTGACAGATCACTTTTTCTTGGAGTCTGCTGGGCTCTCAGGCGGGGTGGACTCTGATGTCATTGACCCTGACGAAGAGGCCCGTTTTTTGCGGGTCTTAGGCTGGGGAACAGTGGCAGCGGTGGGATCAACCGGGGTGCTGCCTGCACTGGTCGGATCTAGGGGCGCCTTCTCATCCATGGAGCCAGAGACTAGGGACAAAATAGAGCAAGAAGGTGTCCATGACCTCCCGCATGAACTATGTGTTGTGATCATTGTCATCATTTCCTAAAAAAAAATTCCATCTGCTCATGGGTTTGAAGGGTTGATCCATGCCCTGAGCTCTTCTCTACTAAACGAAAGTCATCACAATTGAAAGACAATCTCTCCAAATTTACGTATCTCCAGATGTACAAAAATGGTTCGACTACAAACAGCCAGTACTTCTCGACTCTGGTTGGTTGGTTCGGTTTACTGCCACACATCACAAGTAGATCATAAAGAAACAATGTTATTACAGGATGAAATAATAGATGATGAACGAGAGTAAGATAACTGAAGTTACAGCTGAACGTTAGAATAAAGCAAAGGTTTTCTTTGTCATAAAATCTTAGGAATGTTACAATTCTAGATATGACTGCTTCATTATTCAGGTTATGAAAGTACAGTAGAAATGTGATACATGATTTGTGCGAGAGTCTATCAACTGTAATGTGGACAACCAGCTGGTTTGTTGCATTAACAAGGCAAAAGAAAACTCACAGGGTTTTTGCATCTGTCCAGTGCTTGAAGCAAGATTGACCAGCTTCTCAGGATGGACCAGCCTGGTGGGCCGTTGGACGGTCCCACCACTTCCAGCTGGACCTGGAGCCTGTACTCCCTGGGACCCTCCAGATGGGGCCGAAAACCCTGATATGCTCAGTGGCACACCGGATGACATCTGCCCGCTGGTCACGCTCACGTTACCTGCCTGGGGAGCTCTGTCCTGGGAGTGTTTGACCGTGCCGGCTCTGGAGTGATGGGCTTGGATCTGGGCATCCAAAATGGCCGAAGTCAGGGTGGGCGGGGCATTGTCACTCCCTGCTTTGTTGGCAGCACCACCTGGAACAATAAACAAAGCAAATGGAAAAGGCCAATGAAAACAGTTATCTACTGGGGGAATCCTCCATAAAGTTCCAAGTGTTTCCAGGAAGATAATGCAACCTGCATCATTCATATTGGACTTTGCCATTTACTGACATTGTTATAACATAAACACTGTATACTTAGCAATGTCTAAGAGCATGTGACCAAGATGCAGAGGTTTACTCAGATGGGACATTGACCTGTTACCTCCTATTTACTGGAGCTCACCGTACCACTTGGCTGCCACGCCCGATAAGGTCTACTGACCTGCACAGCAAAATTTATGATAAAGGTACCCTTGTGCTTGAGAAACTGTTCTGTATCATCAGAGAAGTGTAACAATACAAAGAAGGGGATACGATTCTCTCAGAGGTACAGAGCGAGGGGGAGTGGGTTGACAATTCAGGGATTAAAAGTTGGCGAAAATGGCCATGATCATGATGTGACAGTGGTACTTAGGATTGCTGTGATGCTGACAGAGGCGATGATTACGGTGATGATGGGGATGGTGATGATTGTGATCATGTTGATTTTTAATTATGGTGATGCTGACAATGGGGTCATTATGGTGACATGGGGACGGTGATGACTATGATGGTGATCATAATTATGGTGATGGTGACAATGGGGTTAATGATTGTGATCGTGGTGATTGTAACACTGGTGAGGGGGGCAGTCATGATAACAATCGTACCGAAGTGTGGGTGATAATGGTTCACATGATGGTGATGATGCAATGATAGGAGATAACTCTTCTCATGGTGATGAGGATCTAGTGTTGATCCTCAGTTTAGAATTTACTGCTGGGGAAGCACACAGCGTTGCAATAATGGTGGGGTGATTAAAATGCTGGTGATAACAAAGATCAATGATCGCTGACTGCGATCCAATGGAATTCCCATTATCTGTTTCCTTTGGTGGTGCATATTGCCAACTCAGTGACTTGGAAATGTGCCACTATGAGTAACGCACAAGGGACCTGAATACGCGACAAGGTGGCAATCCATAACCACCTCACCCCATTCTCCCTCTACTTCCATGTCTACGGCCCCCTCGCCAAACCTCAAATCGGCACATAAATGTTTCAGTATGAGTCATGTGTAGACACAAAGCTGGCACTGTCGGTTCTGGTGTGCTCACAAGCCTCTCCCGCCAGGGCCTCACGTCATCACGGAGGGTGTCAATGCACTTCATGCAGAGCTCTTTTCACCGGCACGTTAAAGAGCAATGATGGTGATTTTTGGACATGCTGTCATGACGGCGCTGCGCAAATCAAAGCCCTCCAGCGGTGAAAATGGGAATTTGATTTTTTTTGCAGTTTTTTTGCCCAGCAAAGGCCTACTCTTTTTTACTTATCATTTTCATCAACATCCAAGAGCACATTAAACACAATTCACATGTTTCCTATGAGTTGTGATACGTCCAGTCAACGTCGGCACCAATCACTACGAATAGGAGACAGCAATCCCACCCCAGCAAGCTCGGTGGTCACACGGTACAATATCCCCACTACTAAGAGGAGGGGGGTTTCAACCAAAAAAAATTGGCTCACTTTTTTTTGGGGGGGGAGGGAGGGAATGGTCCCTGTTGGTCACAACCATTCCATCATTGCACTTGTGAATAGGTTACATAGCAACCCCTAAAACTCTTTTAAAGTAAAGTTGATACTGCTAGGCAATAGTCTGAGTTTGAATTGACAGTCTCTTGAGGAGACAAATCATATACACATTGCTCTTAACCCCAAAAATTATAATACTGAATACAAAAATAAAAGCACTAAAATGAAAAAAAGAAACCAATAACTTCACTAGGTAGTGGGGGCAGAGCAAGTTCTCTTTCACAGTAAGAGAAAAAGAAAAGTGAAGAGTCTGGAATGGATGGAACCTCAGAAGAAAAATGACGTTGTAGAGTACAGCTCCACAAAACACCCCTGCACTGACCTAAATACCTGTGCTTTATTAACTCCTTCCATGAGCATCTCTTAAATTGAGGTAACTTCTTAATGCCCACGCGCAAATGCAAGTTTTTCTTTTACCTTCTCTCTTTGAACCTGTTAATCAATGACAAAGTTTTCAGTTTTGTGTGCTCAATTTGGAAAGAATACGTTGAAGAAGGAAAAGAAAAGAAAAGAAGAAGAAAAAAAAAAACGGAAGAAATCGAGGGGAAAAATTGTTTTAGCCCGGCTCTTGTTTGCCAGATTCTGCATGCTGATTTCCAGTTTAGGAGCCTTGGTGATTGAATCGGAGGAATGCGCTGGCAGGCATTAATGGAATCCATAAACTAATTAAGTGTAGCCATCTGGGGCAGGACCGTGTCTAATTGTGAGGCAGAGACACTTGCATGCTCCTTGCCTGTCACCACGCGCTGGCGTGTCAGGGCCGGGGCCCAGCCAGGCCCGCTTGTAGTCTTCCAAATCTTCCCCAGAAAAAAAAAAAATGGACGTTGGATTGGGCAGGAAGGAGACACAGGGAGAGAGAGAGAGAGAGACAGAGTCAACAAATTTGCTCAATTCTGTGTCTTCATTTGATTAGGGTTTGAAGCCCTGCAACAATGGGGCAGATCAGTCGTGGAGGGTTCGTCATCGTAGAAGAGGGGAGGAGGGGATTTCGTATACATGACAGTGTACAAACACATGTACACTGAGCTGCTTATCACCAAAGCAAAGCTGACGCGTGATCAATCAAGCATAATGCGCTTTGCTGCACACCCCCCCCCCCGCAACCATGAGGCAAAGGTGGACTTTCCAATCTTCAAAGAGGGGCTTTAATTGGTGCTATACGGGTTCACCATCAGAAAACAGCCGCTTTGCAAAGAACAGTTTCAAATTGAAGTTTGGCATTAACTGATCAAAAACACGTCTTGAATACAAGAAACTCATTGTGGACAAAAAAGGTGGGCTCGTCGTCATTAAAGAGATGGGCTACTTACAACAATGCAAAGAGAGACAAACCTGTGTGGGGGTGGTGACATCAGCAGAGGAAATGGACTTTTTTTTATAATCAACAAGTATGGTCAGTAGGCATTCCACACGGAGTGAACTGCAGATTCTACTGTCTGTTATCAACAACCAACAAGAAGTAGGAAGGGGACTGAGTCAACAAGGAAGGGCAGTAAAACAGACGTTGCAAGATAATATGTGTATCAGGTCGGGACTAGATAAAGAAGGAGCCAGCATGGGACAAGAGTGATTCAGTATCTGGCATCATCTAATTACGACGGTCTGTGCCAGGTTTGGTGGAATGTTTCCATCTCCCGCTGAAGTTGTTTGTCATCTTTTCTGCATTTAACATGCAATAATAATTACATGTACATGCAGGTTTTGTTATTGCTACGTTGAAAGTTTTTATTGTATGAATTTATTAGTAAAGTTTGTCCGGATGTTAATTACATTATGCACGGTAACTGCTGTTTTGTTTTACTGTTTTATTGGTTTTACGGTAAAACATAAAAACTGTCTGTCTGTTTCTAACTCATATGACTCATCAATTCCAACTCTTGAATGTGAATCAGAATTTATTTAATTGGTAACGTTTAATGCATTATGCAGTAGTGCAAGTGAACTCTGGCAAGAAGGAAAAGATCACACAAATGCACAGTGACAATATATGTTCTAAATTGTAAAAAAAAGAGAGAGAGAGAGAAAAAGGGCAAATTCGGGCTACTAGCTAGTCAGACTTACATCCCTAATTACTGTGAGCCAATGTATGAGCCGTTTCATGGATTTTGTTGGGCAGAACTCCATGGCCGTCCAGAAAATATAATTTCCTCCCTACTGTTCCTGCAACGCTCGCTTCTGCTGCTCGGAGTGATAGTAATTACTTGTGGCGCAAACATGATTCTTATGCTTAAATTGACGGTTATTGCCTTGATTTGACAAGCCTCACTGTGCAATGCGAAAACACTTTCTGAAAAAAAAAAGGGTGGAATTTCAGAGTGTTACACCTAGAATTAAAGAAAAAGAACACAGCGGGCATAACAGCCTCTCTTTTCAAAATGGCAGCCACATTCCTAGAAGGGTGAGTTTACAATGATCCCATGTCTAAACAAATCCTTTTTCTTAACGTACACATCTGTGAGAAATGTAACATTTATATGAAAGGGCCCACAGTGGGTCTATGGCACAGTTGGCTTAATAACCCCCCCTTTCAAAACAGCTGCCACTTTAAAAGGGAGAGTTTACAATGGTTCTACATCGAAAATATTTCTTTCTCACCACTGAGAAACATCGGTGCAAAGATTCATGCTTTCATGAAGAAAGCGCACAATGGATGTCACACACCCATTGTAGTCAATCAGGTTTTTGTCTGTCATCCGCATATTTTCAACAAGCACTTTGCACTCAATGCTGTCAGCCAGTTTGTGAGAGACAAAGCCCAAGCCTGCTTGGATGGGACTGGACTCTCTCCATCCTTGTGCTCATGAACACATACATCACGGTCCCCTGACCACTCAGCTCAACAAGGTTCCCCCCTTTGAACATGACACATCACAGAGGGTAAACAATAATCAGTAATGACCATCAATCTCAAAATTCTTTCCTTTTTAAACAGTACCTAAAATAATCCTATCGCTGCATTCACACTCACAAATGCGAACTTTTAAGAAGCTTTTCCAAGATAAAAAGCTCCATTGATGGGGCAAATAAAAAGAAACTGAGGAGGGAAAAAAAGCTGCAGTATTGTTGACAAAAATCAGAAATCTGATGATGCATTAAGGAATTTTTTTTTTTTTTAGAGCACTCTTCGTAATAAAAGTGTTTCGGGCCATTAAGTTTTATAGCGATGAGGACTGGCGTTCCAATCTGTCTGAGTAATCATTAACATGTGTACATTTGCAATGATAGCCATTTTGTTGTGCTTCGGGGAGACTCAACATTGACTGGTTTCGATTCAGTCTGTCGTAATTATGACCTGATGATATGGCAGTCTGATGCTGATGCATGACATAGTCAACAGTCGGGAAGGGGGGGGGGAAGGGTGCCAGTCTGCCAGATATTGGCATGGACGTGATTGTCACGAGAATGATGGAGGTTTTGTGGGAACAAAATAGCAGGTGTTAAAGGGGTAAAGCACGTTGCTGGGGAAGTCAACAGAAAATAAGGATATTTCAAGCTGCGAAAGGCTTTGAACAGTGGTTTTTTTTTTCAATTTCTACTGTTAAATATGACAAATAACGTGGGGGGGGAGGGAAAACTGGCAAACACGATGAAGATGCCATGCTGACAAGGACTGCAAAAAGAACAGGAAGCTACATGCATGACTGCAATGGTACCACTCTCGTGAGCAGGTGGTGTGGGTGCGTAACACACCTCTTCAACACAACACGGTGTTTGTTTCATGCCCAAATGCATGCACTCCCTAAGTGTAGGCATCAGCTAGTGACTTGTGGTGTTGCCACAGTGGTTGCCTCTTCATGGATTAGTCTACACAAGATCAGCAGAGCTTGCGTCATGCGAGGACTGCTGCATTCACGGCAAGATTAGACCGTGCCGGAAAAACGAGAAGGGAGAGGGGGTGGGTTAAACACTCGCACACAATCCCTGGAACAAGCGCACCAAATCTGGCATCAGCCCTGTCAATAAAACGGAAAACTGTCCAATCACTTTCCTTTCCGAGCCCACTCACCTCCGTTCAGTTGTCTGGCTAGCAGCGGGTCAAACACATGGGCTGAGAACGTCTCAAACGTGGACAGCTCCTTGTGGTTCTTAATGATCGTCTCCAGGTACTTGGCTCTCTCTTCATAGCTGGTTGGTTCACCAGGGTCAAGGAACAAGACCAGTAACGGAGAGTTGTGTGTTACAAACAAAAATGAATTTTGGAAAAGTCGAAAAAAGTAATAATTAAAAAAAAATTTAATTAAAATAAGATTGCCACCATAAGACATCACTGGGCCTTAAGAGGCTTAAAATCTCTCTTGAGTTCAGATAAAAGAACCTGTAATCCCTTTTTGGTGGTATGTTAACTACAGGATGAAAACTTAATGTGCATTTGCATAAAAACATCTCTAGTGTAAAACCACTTCATCACATCAACCTCATCAATGTTGTCAACACCCCTTTCTGTAAAGATTTAACACATTATCGCATTCATCTGCACCTCTACATGCAGGATCCCCCAAACCAAACCAAACCAAACCAAACCAAACCAAACCAAACACAAAAACTAAATACATCTGTATGATTGATCTGGGAATGTTGCACCTGATTTATGATTTCAAAATATTCAAAGTCTGAAAAGGGAGGGAAACTAGAGCTCTTCCGTCTGTTTGTAACAGACGACAGGACTTTTCCGTATCCTTCTGCATACAAGTGAAAGTTTCAAGTAATTTTTGGCTCAGAAATATTGAAATATCCGCATGACATCTATTGATGATGTCACTGCGACATCACAAACCTTGTTACATACAAACCATATCCACATTGATCAAAAGTTCCTAGCCAGGAAAAAAAAATGAAAAATACCTTGTTTTGTTAAGGAATTACTGTAGTTAAAGAAATTATCTAGCCTTGACACTAATTCCAAGATTCTGGAGACAGGCCAAATCTGAAAACCATTTCAATCATCTAAACTAGCACTGTTTCAAGTGATTGACTCGAAATGTATACATTTATCACAGAATCATCACAGTTTGGTGCATTCTGTACACAGCCCTGCCTTCTGCAGCTTTTTTACACCAGATAAAGATATTAAACTATCACTCGGGAATCAAATTTCCAGGATGATGACCAACAGCATCATGTTACGGACCATGCCCTGCGCCAGTGTTTTAAAGAGGGTCTTATCATAACACAATGCTGGAGTAATGCCCAACTCTAATTTGATACTGTGTCCTTGTGCGCATTATACGAGGGCGATGTGCATAATCAGCCAGGGAACTGGGCCGTGAAAGCGCTCCATGAATGGCCAATGATCTCAGGTAGTCAGCCTTTTCTTGTTTGCAACTTAATTGAGGTTTGTTTTGCCTCTGTTTTTTTCCCCCACCCTTTATGTGTCCGCACGATAATATGCCATCACAACTCGCCACTTGCATAATTTTGTTGCCTAATGTTGGGTAGATTAGGCTAGCCCCCCCCCAGTAACTGCAAACGAGAAGTACATACTTGGATTTTACTGGCTATTAAGCTTGCCTTCTGAATGCAAAGGTGGATGCGCATTATAGGTAATGCAAAGCAAATTAGCCAGACAGTTCACACTCCATTATGAGAAGTAACTCATATCAAGAATCCCTTAGTTCTGATGCTCAAGAAGTCAAAGCCAAATACCAGTCAGCTGTTACTATAATTTTTGTTTTTTATACATTCTACCCCAATGATAGAATTCATTCATTAAAATGGTTGTTTTCAACATCCAAAATTCAAAATCAAAACATAATTTGACTTCAGTCACTTCTGAGATTTTCATGTCAGGGTAAATTAATAGAGTGCACAAGTTTGACGTAAAAAATGACTCTTCATTTAATGTTGAATTTTGCGCGCAGAATGAAAATCTCAGGAATGTTGTGCATTTCCAACACTTTACTGGAAACACCTGTGACAAAGGTGACTCTAAGAAAGAGTGGGAATGAACACAAAGTCATTAATACTACCACAAACGACGTCATTCCCATATCCAGTCAATTTAACACGCAATACTTTTAACGGTCTCTGTCTCAGATTTTTGTGTATCTGCCACAGACAGCCCTCCAAGTTGAAGTGGTGACAATGATCAGCCCGCAGATTTCTTTTTTGGCAGCAGCGTGATTATCACGCAATCCACTCCTGGAATTTAATTAAATTCGGTTTGGAGTGGAGTCAAAAGGCCGGCGATGCCTGGGCGAAATTCACCAGGAAGGAATGGGGGCCAAGCTGACAATCAAGTGTAAAAGTATGGTAGGCAATCTTGATCTTTAGATTTTGCTCTTCATGTATTTCAACCATTTTTTTTTGGCCATTTAAGGTTTTTCCCCTCCTGTTGGAGGTTGAAGAGATCTTTCTGTGCAGAAGACAAATGAGTGACGCAAGACGTCAGCTGGATCTCCTGGCTGTTACTTAGTGATCTGCGGCGCCATCAACAGAACGACCTCGGTGTTAAGTACCTGATCCACAGACACACAACATCTGAGCATCCATTCCGCACTGGGAAAAGGATTCAACGGTGGTGGTGGTGGTGGTAGGAGGGATGGCGACATCTTAATCATTGTCCGATGCAATAAGCCCACGTTATTATAAGATCGAGTTACCGCTACCCCAGCTGCCTGTTAATACCAGGTGAAGACAGGGACGCCAATCACAAGACGCCAGGCAGACCATTAGCGATGCGGGAGAGAAAGACGTCGTTACCGTCATGTCGGACTTAAAAACCCACATCTGACAGAGTAGCCAGAGAGGGGAAACAGACAGAAAAATAATTGCATCTTCAAATGAACATGTACAATCAGACCAACAATTGTGGTAAATGCACTCCCCATCAGGCCAACTTTATCGCCAAATGCTGGACTGCCTTTGAAGGACAACGGTGGAGCGAATGTGCACTGTTCAGTAGCACACACTGGAACACTGTACTTCAGATTCTGGTATCAAGAATAATGTACATGATGAAACACCTGTGCACAGGAATCCTTTGGTTTTCCTCCATCTGTCAGGATGGAACATTAAATACAAAGAAGCTCTCAAGCATCAACAGCTTTTTGTCTGCCATACTTCACAGTCTTTTACCTCAAATACTTTTCAGGCATAAACTATCAAAATTACTATATTTAGGATGCAGAACAAAGCCTAATTGTTAGAAAAACTCTCAAATTTGCTTTTACTTAGTTTGCCTGGGCCCTTTTCCAATACTCGACTTGGGCTCCGTCTCAGGCTTTGTTCCCAAAACCAATCCCCGATAGTGGGCCTGAAGCGTTTAGATCAAATTGGATTACTGTAATTTCTGGCTCTCTAGCATCTTATTTGATGTTTTGTGGCACTATTAGACTAATTACTGCGCTTACACCTCCAAAGTCAGCAAGTTAAAAAACAGTTGAAGCCTGAGACGGAGCCGAAGTTGAGTATTGGAAAACGGCCCAGTAGACATCCATTTAGGTTTGGACTTACAGTAAGTTATAAGATAGGGCAATGTCTGACGTCCAATTATCATTTCAACCTCGCCATTTTTCTTGTTCTTAATTTTCAGATTTATATAAATGAGTAAATATATTCAAAGGATTTGCAGCTTTCAATTTGGAAGCGCAACTTTGACAATCAGATTTTTTAAGAAATCAGAAAGTTACATCATACTTATATTTTCATTTCAAAAATAGAAATCATTTCAACAATTTTTAATCATCTTTAAACCTTTGATTTTTTTTAAACCTCTGGGTTTGTTTTAATTTCAAAACTGCTCTGCAATTCCATCACTCTGCACAAGATGTCTATGAAATTATCATTTAATACACCACAACATGCAACTGAAGCTGGTCGGGCTTTTTCACTTTCTGACAATTCAAGGCTGGCAAAAACAAGAGCCAAGGTGCGAAGGATTACACACTCCTAGTCACGAAGCAGGCAAACATGCCACAACTTAATGAGTCCGGCGGGTGCTCATAACACCGACAATCATCTCTCCTTCATTTCCTTCAGTTTCTGGGGGGGAAAACCTCGATCAGGCTCATTAGTGGAGCCAAGCATACGCACACACACATAAAAATCCCAAACAAAAACACAACTGGCAACACCAGAGCATTGGAGCGGCAGGCCAGCTGGAGGCTAGCGTAAGCGTGTGAAATAAGCCATAAACCCACGACCATGGGCAGCAGTCCGGCACAATAAGTGCAGACGGAGGAAACAAAGGGGGGGCCACTCAGACAAATCTGTAGTTATTCAAGCTAAGGATGCCTGTGTGTGAGTGAGCGTGCGCTTATCTATATGCCAGAGCGAGATCAGCCTGTCATCTCTGTGGACCAATCACTGCACCTGCTACCATTAAGCCTGTATTATGATGTGTGGCCAGTCATATATGCAGCTCTGTCCAGTTGTAAGTTTTGTTCAGTCTTTTTTTTTTTAAGTCACAACAACACATGCCTCAACATGCACAGCCCAGCCATTGTATGGAGCTTGGGCCGAGCCACGCGACCCAAGCTATGGGCGCATGGTACCTTATCAATGGAGCACAAAGGCGTATGGCTTAATCCCCAAATGGGTGACACAATCAGCAGGGGGGGGGGAGATTGGGGGTCAGACATAATGGAGCGAGCCCATTCATTCCCCCTCCCCTGGCTTGTGCCACATGGCCTGAGCTCAGTCACAGCTTTCTGATTCTCGTGAGAATACCAACTGTTGAGTCCCTGGGCTGTTTTACCACCAGGGGAATAGGGTTGTGGGGGGGGGAGACCATTTGGGGTTTATGATTCCAAGGCAAGAAACAGCCACAGCCCACTTCAAATCTCGAGGCCTATTTAGTTAGCCGGCTGGAGGGGGTTGAGACTGTTAACAGACACAAAGGACTGTGGAAGGACTCTGTACTGTGTTTACTCCTCACTGAACCGGCCACGCAGTCAACCCCGTAACAAGACAGACACCAGCTCCTCCACAAATCCCATGCATCCTCCCGCTTCAAATGAACCTCTTCGCCGTTCATTAATTCGGCATCGATTCAAGGAAGACGGAAGAGAAACAAGACTGGGAGAGCGCACATCAGCGACAACAAAAGAAGGCACAAAAACACCCCCCCCAGAAAGGCCTTTGATGCTGCCAATAAATTAACCGGCCAAAGTTTAGGCCCGACTGCC